TAAGGTGGATCATATGAATCAGAAACGAAGGAGGATTTGGCTCAGTCAGGAAAGGTAAAGCATATTTGAGGGATCTGAGGGATCCCAGCAAGATTTACTTTAAAAGCCAAGCTGTCTCAGGACTCAACATTGTGCTAGCTGCTCTACCCAGACAATTCTTGCCCGGATCAATTGGCTCCTGAACGGCTGACAAAAGCGAGCAGCCAATCACAGTTCTCACTCAGAATTTTCCATTATAAACGAAATAAGCTGTTAATCCCTTTGAAGGCTGTATCACTCCTTTGTGCTTTGCTTTGGTTGTATGGAATGATATTTGAAAGCCAAAAATGGTTAAATGCATTTCACAGCACGCAAAGATAAGTAGCAATTTTTATTTCTAAAGTGTGAGGACAGGTAGCTGACAATGAAGTTATTTTGCACGACAATTGAATTTTCCTTTGGGATAGAAGCCCTGCACACACTGAAATAAAGAAATCACTTTCCTCTCTCTGAATAGAGTTTTCTAGTATTATATCACTTTGAACCACATCAAATTCAGGCTGTCATCACATGAGATCTGTGTCAGAGCCATTTAATCATACCGTAAATCATAACCAGTGCAATCTGGCATTGATGTATGTCTGCTACATGTGGAAATAGCAATGTACGTTTAGTTAATGCAGGTTTATAGCAGTGCTGCTGAACAGAAGATGAAGATGACTGGATTTTATGAGGTTTCAGCAACTTGTCGCACATTGGCTGTTTTTATAATATAAACTGGTCTTTCTGATTTACAGTTCTGTGGTTCAACAAGGCTTTTTGAGCAATGAGTAGTGGCTGACTGAGTTTCTGCCTACCTTGACCACTAATGTAAAGAAGCAATTTTCCACTGATCACCTATGTAGGGTGTATTTTATATTTGATCACCAATGTAGGGTGTTCTATTCCACTGATCACCGATGTAGGATGCACTATTCCACTGATCACCAATATAGAGTGCACTATGCCACTGATCACCAATATAGGGTGCACTATTCCACTGATCACCGATGTAGGATGCACTATTCCACTGATCACCAATATAGAGTGCACTATGCCACTGATCACCAATATAGGGTGCACTATTCCACTGATCAGCAATGTAGGGTGCACTATTCCACTGATCAGCAATGTAGTGTGCACTATTCCACTGATCACCAATGTAGTGTGCACTATTCCACTGATCAACGATGTAGGGTGCACTATTCCGCTGATCACCAATATAGAGTGCACTATTCCACTGATCAAAATGTAGGGTGCACTATTCCACTGATCAGCAATGTAGGGTGCACTATTCCAATGATCACCAATGAAAGGTGCACTATTCCACTGATAACTAATGTAGGGTGCACTGTTCCACTGATCACCAATGAAAGGTGCACTATTCCACTGATAACTAATGTAAGGTGCACTATTCCACTGATCACCAATGTAGGGTGCACTATTCCACTGATCACCAACGAAAGGTGGTTTATTCCACTAATAACTAATGTAGGGTGCACTGTTCCACTGATCACATATGTAAGGTGCACTGTTCCACTGGACACCAATGCAAGGTGCACTATTCCACTGATCACCAATGTAGGGTGCACTATTCCACTGATCACCAACGAAAGGTGGTTTATTCCACTAATAACTAATGTAGGGTGCACTGTTCCACTGATCACATATGTAAGGTGCACTGTTCCACTGGACACCAATGCAAGGTGCACTATTCCACTGATCACCAATGTAGGGTGCACTATTCCATTGATCACTGATGTGGGATGCACTATTCCAATGATCACCAATGTAAGTGGGGTGCTTTTCTATTAATCACCCCTGTAATGGAACAAAACAGTGAATGCCAATGTAAGGAACACCCCTTCACTGCTAACCATTGCTTATGGGCCCTTCTGTATTGACCACCAAGGTGGGACAGTTTCCCAACTGACCAACAAGAAGCCTACACTGTCCACCAACTTAAAGAGGAATTGAACTCTGGAAGCTGTGCCCCCAAAAAGTCAGGCAGAGAGCAGTGGACATGTAAACAGCATTTTCTGAGGTCTCCCTGTAGCTGATCTTACAACATTACTGACTTATCATGCCTTTTTCCGCTATGTGTCTCTGGGTGGGTGCAGCCATATTGGAAGAGGCAGGACTTTGCTTCCTCTTGTCAGATACTCCAAGAAAGGGGAACAGTGAGGTGCACAATAGTGACATCACCAAATCTCCTGAGACTAGCAGTCAGAGGCAACAGTGCCTACACATATACAGCTATGAGGATGGAGGCACAGACGTGCCTACAAGTGTACAAGGAAGTACATTGCTAAATTTCAATAGAAATTACAGACCAAAGGTACATTTTTCAAAAGAACTGCTTAAACCCAATTAACAAAATATTCCCTATAACAAAGTATATCTTCACTTTTTTTAATTCAGTTCCACTTTAAGGGGGCACTTCAGTGACCACCAATGTAAGGGGGCACATCTCCACTAAGAGGACATTGTGTTAATCACCCATATATGAGACACTACACTCACTGCCAAGATAAAGGGCATTCTTTGCTGACCACTGTTTGATTCTTTTGTGAACAGTAGTATTTTATTTCATAATTATTATTGAATTAATTTTGTTGTATAGCGCAGATGGTATTACAAATTATTAGCCCTGGATGTCAAATACTACATGTCACATTCTTTATTTTTTTCAACATTATATCTAGAACTTACCATGGTGCTTATATATCAAAAGCTCTAGTTATAATAGTTTTCAGGTCTCAGGGAACCCCTGCTAAAATTATTTCAAGGGTTCTTCCATGGTAAAAAAAGATTGATAAAGTTGCATAGTTACATAGTATTTGAGGTTGAATAAAGACACAGGTCCATAACGGTTTATATTAGGGATAAACAGATACCGATACTAGTATCAGTATTGGTGCCGATACCGGACTGCGAGATCCTTGCTGTTTGGCTGGGAAGCCGGCTTTCCAGCGATGGATCAGAGAAAGCCGCCACACCGCTGGAGGGACAGATGAAAACATCAGGAAAGAAGAAGAACATCGGATTAAGAGACATCATATAAGGTAAGTGCTAACATTAACATTGGGGGGAGGGGGAAAAATTATCCTTTAATGTCACATTAAGGTTTAATGATTCAATGTACAGGGTGCTGACGTCATACTGCTTCTGTGCCAGTTGAATTTCCTCTGCATATTTATTAATTATGTTTGCTGGATATATTCTATAGTTACAACCTATTTAATGCAATTGTTTTCTATGCATTTCAGGACTCTACTCTTGTGTATCCTGTCTTCCTCAAAGTGGATGCTAATGGATTTTTTATACACTGGGTAGATCAAAATAAGGTAATGGAAATTAATATTTTTTTTTGTAAATGTATTATATATTTTTTGGTTAAAGATAAACATCAGCCAACATAGTTTATATTTCTTAGATTTGTACAGAGGGAGTAAGGGTTAGAACATTTGTTGGATTTTGAATGCTCTCTGTGTTGCCATTGGGGCGATTTACCCTCCCTTCCTGTTCTGATAACAGAATCACAAGTACTTGAAGTAATGGGATATATCTCTGATGGAGATGGGAGTGACACCCACATACACTTATATCTTGTCCTGGTGCCACCATGACAGGAAGAGAGGAGAAATCTCCTCAATGAGGAATCACAACAATAAAATTTGTTGCAATCTCTTTTAGAGTTACCACCAAGTATCTAGTGCAAGCACCTGTCTGATTATATACAGATTAATTGCATAGCTTAGGTACAGTAGGTCCTCCTAATATGTAGGCTTGTGTTAGGATCCAGAGTGCCTCCAGGTGGCGCTGGAGCTAGCCCTGCAGTTCCAGTGCTCACCTGCGGGTGTCTCCCAGCACTTAGCCATCACCTGGTGCTTCCTGGGAGGGTATTTAAACCCTCTCTGCAGTCAGGACACTGGCTCAGTGTTGTTTCCTGTTACCTGTCCTGAATCCTGTTTTGAACCTTGTTACCTGTGAGTCCTGAATCCTGTTTTGAACCTTGTCACCTGTGAGTCCTGAATCCTGTTTTGAACCTTGTCACCTGTGAGTCCTGAACCGTGTTTTAAACCTTGTTACCTGTGAGTCCTGAACCCTGTTTGAAGTCGTGTTTCATGTGTCTTTTGTTTTCTGTCCTGAGCCTTGTTGTTGGTTGTTGCTATTGGTCTAAGTTGTATATTAAACAAACTTGAATATGGGTGTAAGATGAAACATGTTCTAAAAGGTAAACTTAGCCTTTAAGACCATGCAGGGACCCGAGGGTGCATGTTTATATGTTTTGAGGAGTCCCGGACTACTTAAAAACACATTTCGTAAGGTATATACCAGAGCTGGACAAAATAATACGAAATTCAGGAGCCAGTCTGTTCAATCCATGAGCCATCATGATTTTTTCAGGAGCCAGCTCCATTGACAACAACTAGAGAAAACCAAAAAGTTAGACGCCAGCTGTACATTTTAAGGAGCATTATCTACCTGTCTCCTGGGATTTGTCAAGCCTTGACCTGAGGGAACAATTTTTCTTTTTTTGAGGGGTCCTGGAACACTTTAAAAACACTGTAAGGTATATGCAGGGACCTAAGGGTGCATATTCTACCTTTTGGGGTTCTTTAACATGTAAAATAATTGGAAGGCATTATGTCATCGACCTAGGGTGCATGTTTCCCATGACTGCTGCTTTGTAATGTTCTTGGATGGAAGAGTATTTTTTGACCCAGGTGTGAACTAGATGCATGGAATTAGTAAGACGTTTACTGATACTAATTGTAAGTAGTGTTGTAAATCACAGGTACAGGCTGGGTTCAGAACTTCTACAATAGACCTACGCATGTCTCCCTTTGTCCAAGCATTTTGAACTTTTAGAAATTGGTTTGGATTCCCAGTTAGCAATCCAATTTACATCATGTCATTATCATAGTCATAATAAACTCCTTTAAGTATAAATATATACACTAAACCTTTACTTTTGATAAACCTTTGAGGATTTGCATAAATTCTATTCCTTTTCCAGGAATCCGAGGCATGGAGCTGATTTCTAGATGCAGAGAAGTGACTTACATAATCTCTGTTTTTTCTTCAGTATATCAAATGTGACATTTAATTCATTTTCTTTACTCTCCGAATTGTAGTTTTATCTCATATTAATTCTGTTTGCTCTTCCGTCGCCCTTTGAAATCATTTAATTTATTCATTATGTCTTCCTTTTATTGTGTGAGCTTCATGATGTGCGTGTTGGCGATGATTAATTGCGCTGGTTGAACTGCACTACTATTTTCTGTGTTGCATATGGTTTGGTAGATGATCTGAGTTCTTTCCTCATTGTCTAAACTAACAATGCGGGGTATTTCTAAAATCAATTAGCAAAGTACAGTTAAAGCAAACCTGAATTTCAGCAACAACACCCACCCCAGTACCTTGACCATCGCATTTCTTAAATGAGTAATCTGTAAAGGAAGAACTCAAATATTCACCTTTCCTAAGAAACCTCGTGTGTCAGACTACTTCTGGGGCCAGTCACATGACCAAATGCCAAAGCACAGGTTAAAATGGACCTTTACCCCTTCACTAAAAATCACATCAGCATGCAGTTCTGTATCCTAATTTCAAATCCTCTTACATTCATTAGTTAAACAAACATGTTTTTCATTTACTTACAAATTGAGTTCATCTACTTACTGGTCAACTTTTGGCACACATTTTGTAATCTGCCCAAGCGTTGCATCCTGGGAAGGCTACATCAGCAGAGCATTGCTGGGAAATCTCTTCTGTCATCTCATGAGATCTCAGGGAAAGGCATTTTCCTCCCCTGAGATGATGTGCATGGTCACATGTCCTAGTCCCATGTGCCAGAGTTCCAGGAAGTAAAGGGAGATCTAATAATCTGCCCTTAGTAAACATGGGCACTGTCAGAAGACTGGGAAAGAAAAAGGAAATAAGGTATGCAAAGAATACAAAGCCTGCAATTATCTAGAAGTATCTGTTTGTAGATTGTCATTACATTTCTAAAGGTGTGTTTGTTGTTATTTTAAAGATATGAGGAAAGTTTCACTTTAAGTGATTTCTGATGAAGGGTTTGAGGGAGCAGACATTCAGACAGGCAATCAGCAGCTGGTTCTTAATCCTGATGCTCTTCTGCTGTAGCAGAAGCTACATGACCCTTAATTCAGTATTGGATAATGTGGCCAACACCAGAGGAACCCAAGAGCATTGTTGTTTTGTTTAGTTTTTTTGCAGTTGGGGAATATTTTTGCACCTATTTTCCAGGTAATATGACAGTCTGGGAAATGAGGGACTACCATGGTCAGGGAACATACATTTTACAGTATGTGTTAAGGCATTTTGAAAGATTTGATGAAAAGGGGATGCAGTACCTGAACAGATGTCAGGCCTTAAAGCAGGAAACCTGGGAATAATCCCATTTAACTGAATAAATGTAGTCTCTAATTTAAGTGAAAGCTTTGGGAAAGGGTTAGAGACTCTAGAATATTTTATTCCTCTGTGTGTCCCCATTGGGGAGATTTCCATCCACTTTATGGCCTGGTGACATTGTTGGGGGAAATCTCTAACAGGGTCTTATAAAGCAGTAAAAACACTTTTTTTGAATAGAGCCGAAATAGAAGATTTGGCTATAGATTCATAATCGTTCAATTTAACACTGGATTTCAGATTCTAATTGTTTGTTCAAGTCAGTTGTACAAACAAAATATATTTTATTCCAGGAAAGTAAAGGGTAGGAAAGGTTAGGATCGGGCGACTATAGTAAAGGTTAGAATTGGGTGCCTGTAGAAAAGGTTTAGATTTGGGTGCCTGTAGGAAAGTTTACCATTGGGTGCCTGTAGGAAAGTTTAACATTGGGTGCCTGAAGAAAAGGTTTGAATTGGGTGCCTGTAGGAAAGGTTAGCATAGGGTGCCTGTAGGAAAGGTATGGATTGGGTACCTCTAGAAAAGGTTTGAATTGGGTGCCAGTAGGAAAGATTAGCCTTGGGAGCCTGAAGAAAAGGTAGGAAAGGTTAGGATCGGGTGCCTGTAGGAAAGGTTAGGATCGGGTGCCTGTAGGAAAGGTTAGGATCGGGTGCCTGTAGGAAAGGTTAGGATTGGGTGCCTGTAGGAAAGGTTTGGATTGGGTGCCTGTAGGAAATTTTGGGATTGGGTGTATGTAGGAACGGTTAGGATTGGGTGCCTGTATATAAAGTTTGGGTTGGGTGCCTGTAGGAAAGGTTTGAATTGTGTGCCTATAGGAAAGTTTAGGTTTGGGTGCCTGTAGTAAAGGTTGGGATCGGATGCCAGTAGGAAAGGATAGGATTGGAAAGGTTAGAGAAAGCAACGGTTTTCTTTAAAGAAGGTTCAAACTAAAAATGACTAAAATCCCATATGGTTTTAACATGTTAATATAATTTCAAAAGTTGTTTTTAAACTTCTTAAATTTGCATCCTTCATTAAACATACAGTATATTTACACGTATTGTCCCATATGCTGCATATGCAAATAAATGGCTCCATACACATAGCTGCGTATGGAGCCATATATTTGCGCTGTGTAAAGATGCGCAAAAACAGAATGGACCCAAGATGCGTCCGGGCAACATATTTGTGTGTATACACGCGTACAGTTCATTAAAATTTCTATTACGAATGATGCATTCTGGGATTGCAAATAGTGCACGCATATACATGTATACATACGCGCATATACACGTGTACATACGCGCATATACGCCTATATGCCCCGCAAGGGCACATAGAAAACAATTGCTTTCTATGTGCCCTGATCACATTGCAATGCTACCAGGTGGGCTGCAGGTTGTTGTCGAAAAATGCAGACATGCATTTGTTATTGCAAGAAAAGGGAGAGGTATGCTGTACAAACTGCTTTTTATATTTACTCTATGGAATTTGCAGAAAAACACCAGCATGCTTTGCAAGCGAAGCTAAGTTTTGACTGTGCAGCACTGTTGAAAAAGACAACATTACCAGCATTTCCAGCAATTTCTTGAAGAAGCAGTTATCTGAAGGGAAAATCTAAATGGGCGTTATTTTAGTTTTCGTATTTTCTGTTCTTTTACCGTATTTTCTTCTTACTTTGGTTTCCATGGAAACTGTTCAACAGCTTCTTTCCAATTCGCTGCCATACCTATTAGAACAACTACTTACATTGTGCTGTGGAGGGTGTAAGCTGCTCTAGAATGGAGCTTCAGTCAGCATAGTAATTCTTCTACTATGCTGTCTCCTTTCTGTACTACTCTTTGTATTTCCTCCCCAGACATATAATTAATGACAGTTCTAAAGAGTAGAAAAACAATTTTATTACCTGCATTCTAAATATAGAGTCACACCA